CATACCAGCCTTATTAAATTACAAGCATATGAGACGATATGACTACAGTTCTCTTTTGCCAAGGTTTAAGCATAGAAGAAAGAAAGTACTCTTTCTCAAAATATTATCACCACATAGAGATATCAAGTATGGGGAAATGCTGCCACTTGGCTGTTAGGCCTTGGTACAAAAATATAAATTCAATAATAAGAAATATTTTGACCAAGTTTCTGGATTCCAAAATATTTCATGTACCAGAATTCTTTCTTTCATACCTGGATCAAAAGCATTATCACTAAGGCCTGGATAACAATACAATAAAAATTAATAAAATACTCATTATAACATAGAGACATACTGAAAGGCAAAAAATTGGTAATATCAAGTAGTCAGAACAATCATTTCATTTTATTATAACAATTTTCTGTAGATACGAAGTTAAACCAGTAAGTTCAAAATAAATTTTAACACAATTATTCATAGTTTCTGATTACTTCATTAGAACCCAATTTTTTAAAATGTAAAGGAGCTTAATTTTCGGAATTTACAACTGATCCACAAACAGTTCCTAGTTCAGCAACTAAACAATTCCAAGATCAAATGGCTGAAGTTGCATCTAAAGACTCAACATCTTTACTTGGTATATACCAAAAAATTACAAAAGAAAAATTTTGCCTATAATAACATAGAAAATCAATTCAAATCTCTCAATTCATTATTGTTCAATGAGGAAGAAGAGGCATTTTAGGAAGAAAATAAACAGTATATCTGTCTTGAGCTAAGGTAGTTTATGCTAATTTTAGAAAAGAGTATTGGGATGAAGATAGACTGGTGAATAGGGCAACGTATAATGTGCGTCACACCATATTTGCCCACTAACTTTCTCTTTTAGATAACCTCTTCTCTGTCATATCTTATTTCTGCAGAAAGCAAGAACCATCAGATACTATTGATTGCACTTGAACCATGCCTTTTTGTTATCCAAACCAGGTGTATTGATTGGAAGACTAGTCACATTTATTGTTATATGCGACCTGCAATAATTAAGTGTGAAGGTTGCAGTTACAATCTGGTGATGCCCTAGCGACAATTGTTTTTCAGGGCCTGTCATGTTAAAATCACTTGGCATTAAATAAATTTAAAATAATAATAATACTAATAAAATTAAAAAAGAGAGGCATTAAATTGAAAATATTCGGAATTGCATTCAGTAAAGACAATTAACATTTAAGTACTTGATAATATGTAAAGTTAATGTTTCATCAATTAGTCTTGACTTGATTATTAAAAAAAACAAAACATGTTAATATATAACTACATGGACCCTAATGATGTCATTTATTTTCTTTGATATATTTAATCATATTAAAGTTCTAGAGCTATAAATTTAAAATTGCTGTGTACTCTGAGTCTGCTATAAGAAATGTGAATCATGACACTAATCTTTTAAAACAAAATGGATATACCGGTACTTTCTTCACACATGAAGATGAGCAAAATATAGAAATCTTCAAAATTGCGCCAATTTCTACCCCATAAAGATAACATAAACCACTTTTTATTTTGTTTTATCTACACTATCCTGATGTTTGCAGTGTTCTTATATTACTTTTTATCAATCTGATTATTGTCAGAAAAAATCTCCATTTGAATTTGATTATCTATAATAAATTGTTAAGGAAAGAACATTAGAATATTTTAAGTAATATTTTTATCCACAAATTGTTGATAGCTGTTGAACTATAAATTTTCTTATGAGCATACCAAGCTGTTTTCAAAAACATAATAGAAAAAAGTATAACATCAAGTTATACTTTGATTTTTCTTTCATATATGGATCAAAAACATTATCACTAAGGCTTATGACATTAGATCATAGTTACACCTCCTGCCTTATACAATGAATCTTTTTAATTAATTCACATACTTCTCAACGGGGCTCAGGGCCTCAGAAATGTGCTAAGCACTGTTAATAATATTAATTTTATCAAGCAGAAGGTACAACAATGACAATGTCACCAGCCAGTATAGAAAAATCACAGCATATAGTAAATAATAAAATCTTATGAGAAATACCTTTTGGTCAGAATATTACCATCACACAAAAAATATTTCTTGCATCTGAAAACTGTTTAATTGTATCTCCATAAGCCAAATAATTCTACAATGAGAGTGTTAGATCAAGTAATGTCTCAACAAAAATTGAGATCAACTTGTCTAGCTTTAATAGCTGATTACCCAGACTTATACTAAATAATTTCGAATATTTTTTTTTTTATTTAAGGTTGTCTAATTTAATACATACAGTCACTTTCATTACTCTTTCTGCCAGATTCGGATGCATATAATCCTGGGAAATCCTTTTCCACATCTGGACTTTCAAATTCCATTTTTCTTCTTGCTGAATAACACAAAAATTGACTTCAAAGACATAATAAATTATGTACATTGGGCAAACTTCAAAATAATGCACTGCAACCATCAAAAAAAGGGTCTACAGGATAAATTGTATTCATCAACACATTGGAGCATTAATAATACAAACTTTGCACAAACCATGCACACAGAAAATCTTTATGTTGGAACTGTGGAATTCTGTTTTGAAACAAATAGTTAAAATTTACTAGAAAAAGAATTCCATGAAGATAATTACACAAAAAATAATTCTGCAAAAAATGTTTTGACGTTTTAAAACGTTTATTTAGATAGAAACTTTCAATTTAAAATGAAAACTTCCATACACAGAAAATGCTTCCATTAAGATAATGCTGAAGAATCCAATTGAAATATATTGCAACAACTGAAATATTAATTTACTTAGTTTATCTGAAACTTTTACCTGACGCCATTTAGGAATTTTGATTTCAATTTTGACGTGAAGGTGTTGTGTGGTAAATTTTTGTTACAATCCAAATCAGGATAGGGTCTTGATAACTCCAAAACACAAAGCCTAACAACAAATATTAAGTTCACTACTTAAGACAGGTTCTGGAAAAAGCATCAGAACGTTAATTAATCAAATGATTTCAAATATTTTACCGTCACTGGCTTCATTTCGTTATTTCAATTACATGGGCCCCAAATCGTTGTCACTAATGTCACAAATGTAAACAATGAAGCACACACGCTGACAAACCTAAAGATTTTCATCTCATTTGTGAGTTCGTCTTTCTTCTGTCTGACGGCTATCAGCTGCTAAAGAAAAGCCGGGAATTCAACGCAGAGTATGCCGAATCCGCCAAATGGCACATCCAGGGCACATCCACGAACAGCTGAGACCGGTATCAAAGAACTTGCAATGCACGATTCGTGTCTGACAATACATATTCCTGAGCTGATATTAGTGTTGAGCGCGTTGACTTGATAGTTGTAAAATGTTGGAAACTCAGGTGCGTGAGGAATGTTATAAATACTGTAATATAATGCAATTGATGTAAAATAATTTACTGCTTTCTGGTATGCATATGTATTTCACCTGCAGCATGTGCCAGAATCATGGATCAGTTTTAATAATTTGAGCTTCATTGCACAAGTATCTGCTCAACGCTGACCACCTCTTTCAAATATCATTTAAATGAGATTAAAAATGTTATGAAAGTCCCGCCGTAGATTAACATTTATCCATGGTTCCACGTCTGATAATTATCTCTTCAGGAGAGTGAGTTATTGCAAACGCCTTCTATAGTGACAGTTTCAGGGGGGAGCACGGAACAATGACCCTTCCTTCACGCCAGCAATGTTTTGTAAATTTACTCTATTTATTCAAAATTAGTACCTTGTAGGCTTATAGTTCTCATCGTATTCGAAACAGTATTCACGTTTTGAATATACTCGTACTTTTTTATTTGAAGCTAACAATGGAAGTATAAAAGTGCAATAAACTCTGGTTTGCACGAACTCGCCCTGTAACACGAATTTGGTCATAACACGAACAAAACTTGAATCCCGGCAAGGGATTACAACGGTCATTTATAATAATCGGATAACACGAACTCCGATTATTTCGGTCCCTTGGAATTCCTGTTATTGAGGATTTATTGTAACGTAATAAATTTTTTTAGAGGTCCGAAGTGAAATTGGCACCCTCGAATAAGCCGAACATTATTCATCGCCCAAAAGAATGTGATATGCTAAATATAAATACGATGTTATTTTATTTCTTGCATGTCCTACACGTTTGCCGTATGTATCCAGCACAATCCTTAAATGTTCCCTTGCTTTGTCTCTACCTATCCCACTCCCAATTCTCTTTTTTTCCTCTCACCGCTATCGCCAAATGTATAGTGGCGGTCAATAGCATAAAGCCACCATGCAATGAAAATGAATTTAAGGAATTTGTTTTGCAAATAACTTTGATCTATTAATAAATAGCATATCTTTTATTTTGTACTGAATATGGAAACAGATAAATAAACCTTTACATGACACTCAGACCCAAATTATTGTACTAATAACAAAAATTTAGCAAAACGTATCTCTTTAAGAAGTAAAAAATAGAGCCATCTGATATAACGCATTGGATAAATAACAAAAACGACCAAAAACATTTCTCTCTCTTGAATGGGTTAGTATTATTCGCGCATATTTTCTTGGGCCATCATTTAGGTAGATGCAATAGAGGGAGGGTTGGTTATTTCGTCAACAGAACTATTATACCAAATCTGTAGCTTGTTTTACGAAGCAAAATTATTACACATTATTACAAAAGTGACAAAAGATATTTATGTGCGCGTTCTAACTAAAGTTATGAAGCCGTGGATGGATAACATATCATCTAGAAAGCCGTATGTTTTCCAGCACGACGGTGCGCCTGCTAACACGAGTCACTTGGTACAAAACTGGTTGTCGGACAATGTCGATGGTTTGGACGAAGGAATTATGGCCTCCCAACAGCCTAGATTTAAATCCATTGGACTCAATTTTACCAAAAAAAAAGTATAAATAAAAATGTTTAATTTGCGGTGATTTTGGCCGCGCACTCTTTCGCAATGCTCCCATTGAGTTGTGAAACTCGTAATCTTCCCTGAACAGTTGAAGTACATAATTCAACACCATAAACATGAGTTTTTTTTGTTTCAAGCAAGGTTCTGTCAAGAATGGATTCATCCGAATTTCTAAGCAGATTTGTCGATCCATTCGTGGTTATGTTGTTCGATTGTCAGACTTCGTCTGTTTTCATTTGCGAATTGCATATTGGACTCACTTTCGCGAAACACGTAGTTCTTTTGCAATTTTGTTCATTGAATCACCTTTTTCTTATGCTAAAAATCACCTGTCGTTCAGTCCCAGTGGTGTGTTTTGCACGACTCCTCTAGAATGTTCAATTAAATACCAATGCAAGAAAACCACTTGTACATCATGAGATCACAAACAATTTAAATAGGATCTAAATAAAAACTACTGTTATATTATACATATTTACATTGGCTCTGTTATTATGACTGATGAAATTCCTACCTTTGAATCATGATTCTTCTCTACCTAGCCGGAAACGTGGTTCACTGTCTGCTGTCTTGTGCTGATAGATAAGGCTCGTACTGATTATAAACACGGGCCTAGAAATTCGCGCGGGAAAATAGAATTATTACATAAATTAAGATCAAAGTCAATGTTATTCTCCTTACATGCCACTGAATCATCACTTGTCTGTGAGTTTTACAATGTTCTTTCCCCTATGGCTTATCTTTGTTATCATAGGAGGCGCTAAGGGTGGCTATATTTTATTGACCGCCACTGTATTTCAGATGCACTCAGAAGGGGAGCACTTGGCCAAGACCCTGACTTCATAGGGGCCACGATTTAAAAAAACAAAAAAACAAAACAAAAAAAAAAAAAGCAAACTATGTATTTACTTTTAGTTCAAATTAATAGGTAGAGTTTTTTTCTGTTGCCTGGAGAAATTAACTGTGTTTATAAATGAGGAGTTCGTAACTTTTATTGAAAATAAAGGGGAAATCAGGGATTGATTAGATTTACAGAATTAAAAGTATGTAATACATAAGGTTACTAAATGTCCAGGGGGTCGCGGCCTCCCTGGTCTCTCCTGTGGGAACGCATATACATATTTGACCAGTCATACAAAAAAATGTCTTTGTTTTTTTCAAAGCAAATCGCTGCCGACAAAGTACTGTACAATGTGCAGTACATGCTGTATACATCAAACACGAGCGTATCTATTTTAGTGTTGTTGTTGTTTTTTTTTAATTTGTTCCGCCTGAATTGACACAACGCGTCTCCAAGCCCCGGGGGGCGATGAGCGCTTCGCGCTTGGGAGTACTCCTCCAATAATAATAGCGCTATATTTATAGGAGTACTCCTCCAATAATAATAGCGCTATATTCATAGGAGTAATCCTCCATTAACATATGTTATTTTTAATGTCACGTCTCGGTCACTTGTCGAGAGGACCGCCAGGTAGCATCTCCACGTACGCACCTCCTACGTCACTACCCAACGGCCAGAATTGGGAAGGAATTAGGATAGAGGTAGGATTTAGGACTCTTCACAGAGGTTTACTAACCCCTGCATGCAAACTCGTTTTGTAGTAACAAATTTCACATGAGGTTCTATGGGGATTCTACGGGAATGGAATCCGGAACATCAGTGGTGAAAGGCAAGCGACTGAGCCTCGTGAGCACGAGTGTTTCTAGTTAATGAGAGTTGGAGCATGAGAAAGTAAATTGCGTCAAGGGGCATGGGGACATGCCCCCTCCCCTCCCCCCAAATAAGGGCGTAGAGTTTACGTTTGTTACTTTTCTTTATTTGGCAAAATTTATTTAAATATTTTTGTTAGAAATACGTAAGTATTAAAAAGTTGTATTGTATCGTTAAAATGGATGTAACCCAAAATCGTATGTGACTTATAAATTCTGAGATCTATTTATTCAAGTCAATATTATTGTAAAGTCGTGGTGCTTTGAATCATAATTAAAACCACGGCATTTCAACTGTTTATTAAAGCCACGAAAATTTATTGCAACTGAAATATATCCTAAAACATTTACTTAGAATGTACGTTTACTTAGAATTTATAAAACGTCACTTATGCCATGCTGGTTTTCATCCATTCACATATACACTTAATCAATAATATAAAATATAATAATAAATATGTTTAGTATTTAATAAAATATCTACGATACACCCCTCCTCCCCAAAAAAAGTTTCGGCTGGATCCGCCCCTCGAGGAAGAGTAGACCAGAAGAGCCTGAAATTTCAAGCTTTTATCTGATCTAAAATAGTCAGGCAAAAAGACATTTATTCTGTCTAAAATAGAGCGTACAAAAGGCGTGAAAAAATCACTATCTAAAAGGAATATTTGTAAACAAAATTTATAATTAAAATAATTCAATGTGTTATTCTTACTCCAAAATTTACATCAGCACTTACATGGAAGTATATAATTTTTTCTTTGTAATCTTTATTGCACAAGACCCCAAAATTCTTTCTTTTGTTGGGAAGGTGGCAAACTCCGACAGAATGATTATTTTTCAGTTTCAGGGGTGCTAGTGCAATCGGTGCGAAGTCAGAGGTCCAAAACAAGACCCTCAGCAAAGGGTTCGTGTTGAAAAATATTTTGAATGTTACTTGGTGCCAAATCGTAATAAATGACACATCAATCGAAAATTTAATTAAGATGATTACTTTTATTACTGTAACTGAATGTGAAAGCTTTATTTCGAAAAAATAAAGAATATAGGACTGGCTTGTCTGGACTGACTTATTTATGCACTTCAGTAGGCGACTTGACCTTGACTTGCGTACCGCCCGTTCAGGGCTCCATTTTGGAAAATAAATTCGCAAAAATTTCTTTTGTACATTGGTAATAGTACAGAATAAAGCTTGTTTTTCAAATGATTATTGCCACGTAGTTTACTGTAGAAAATTTTATTACAAATTCATTTTCAGAATAGGATCCCTAAAATAGGAATTTCGATGATTAAAATGAAGAATAATGCCTTCATTGCTTAAATGGCAAAATCTTATTATTACTATTGCGTACCCATACAACGTAGATGCAAAACTCCAGATTTTATGTTTGATAATTGCATTTTGGGGTTCCATTTAGACATTCTATACCGGGCCTCCGAGAACTAGTGGCGTCTCCTCACTCTGGACTTGAGCAGTGAAGGAAAGTCTAAAACTTCTGACCTTAATTAAAACTTTATTCTTCTACTGTTTTTAAGAGCAAAGTCTTTTTTTTCAGTAACAATGTCTATAGCATCCAGGTAGAATTTCCGCGTATGCGCCTACCACTTCACTACCTAGCGACTGGAATTGGGCAGGAATAAGGACAGGGGTAGAGTTTGGACTAGACTGTTCTGGATGTCTATCTTCAATTTTAAAGTTTTAAAACTTTTTGCAATTATTGAAAAATTGGGAGTGTCTACAAAAATGAGCTATAAACCATTCTCTTAAACGTTCTTCGCAATTGAATATTGCAACAAACTTTGATCAAAAAATTTGGAGCCGTTTTTGAGAAAATATTGAACATGTGTTTGAGGTTTGAGGCTTCATGTGAAGTGCTCTAAAAAAATAAAAATATCCGTTTGAAACTCCCAAAACCACGAATTCATTCAGTTCGATTGAATAATATCAATTTTGAAGAAAATCGGCCGAACGGTTTAGGCACTAGCGTTGACCCCGGACAGACAGAAGGAGCGACAAACGATTTTTCGGTATGAAGAATCATCAAAACATGAAATCTAGCTACACCACGAGTTAGAGAATTTTTTTCTACATTTAGAAACAGGATTGATCCGCTTTTTCGTTACCAGAACCCGACAACAAGTTTATTTTCTGGAAAAATTTCGGCTTCTTCTGACGCACGATTACATAACTTTGTCTTAAGAAGAATTCGTTTGGCCAGAAAGTAATAAAAAAAATACTAGTCTCATTTCGGCCGAAAATTGCAAAACGTTACCGTTACAAAGTACAATGTTGAAGGTAGAGAGTATTGTCTTAAACGAAATCTGTTCAAAAAATCTGATCTTTAAAAAAGATGATGTACAATTTTGGGGAAAAAATATTGAATAGTTTTTCTGTAATTTCTGTTTCTCGTTAATCCAGTTTTGAAAAAATACTCTTTAAACTTCTCTAAATGTTTTCCATGGTTAGAACAAGGGATTCTTGAAATATTGGGAAAAATCTAATTTTTCTTGATTTATTTGAATTGTCAAAAATTGCAAAAGTTGAAATAATGCAAGATAATACGTGATGTTGAAGCTTTACTAGTTTTAAATTTTCTGATCTCCGTGAAGCAGTCAGTATATATAGTATATGACCAAGATTAAGGAAGCATCAATTTACAATCAGAGAGACAATTGTTGTTTAATACATTTTTTATTATTGTATAGATTAATACAGTTTAATTTGACCTATGTTGTTGCTGAATTCGAAAATAAAATTTATATGAGGATTAATGGTTAGTGCAGAAATATTTGTTGATATTGAGAACTTGTATTTTATAAGCAAATATGCTTTTAAATTATTATAACGTAATTGTAAGAGAGTGGGGATAGGGAATTTGGAGATCAAGAAAATGTGTAGGTACAATTTGTACTTCTTCGCCATCACAGTTTTTAAATTGATTTTAGACAATTAATATGTTTGCCTGTAAAATGTCAGTAATTTTATAAATCCTCTAATAATTTATTGAAATTGGAAGGGCAAACCTGTTAAAGCTAATTTTTATGTATGGGCTGATTGAAATGTTGATCTTTTTATAAGAAATTATAGTGGGTAAAATTAATTTTGTTAAGTTCTCAAGTAGCCTTACCTTTGGTTACCTTTGTATATTATTTTAGATTCAAGCTAGATATTGTTTTATGAAGGGTATTCTTAAGTGCCTGTTGTCCTTCCCTTTCAAAACTTTGAACAGCAGTCCAGATTTCCAGATTTCTAAACAGGTCCAGATAAAATGCATGAAGAATAGAGGAGATAATTTTCTTTACAATAGTAATAGAAATGAAAAAGTAAATACTCAGAGTAGGGGAAGAAAACTGGCGTTGGCATGGAGATGTCTCTTTATCACCTCCAGCTACTGTCACTTCTTTTCTCCATTCAGAATCACTGTTTATTATAGTATAATGTGCAGTTGATGCCTCTAAATTACTGAACTCTCTCTCTCCCTCTCACTTGGATTCATACTAAGGACTAAGATTCATAGTGGCGTAAGATTTATCACAGTTTCTGGATTCAAAATTAATTAGATTTTAAACTGGTTTTTGCTTTATATGCAATAATTAGACCAAAGCCACTATAAATCTTAGCTCCATATGTCATATTTATTCTCATAGTCAAAGTGAGACTATAGAAATTTGAAGAGTTGAAGGTTTATTGTCATTTAGCTTTATTGTTTAGTTCATCTCAAATCAGTTTCTTCACCATATCCTCAATTAATACAAACTGAAATGGTTTAGTTGGTTGAATGATGACACATATTTATTGTTAATAAATTATCTTCACTTTTGTGAAAAATTTCAATTTCAAGTCAGGATTACACCTTGAATAGCTACTTTCAATTTTAATTCAAATTGTATTAAAAATAATATTTCTGTGGATGTCTTTTAGTAAGTTGGATTCATATGGGTGTACCAATGGACATATTTTTCTTCCTCTGGCACTTGACCCATTGTTATGTATAGAATCAAAGAATTAAGATATATGAACTACACATCACTCATCTCTTTTCTTGTTTCTTTCATTCTGTCTTTCCTTCTTTTTTTCACTACTCAAAGGCACTGTGAAAATCTTAGATTCTTTTGCAAAGGTAATGTGAAGGAAAAGGAGACGAGTACTGGTTGGTCAAAGTAACTAAAATGTCCATAATGGTATAAAGTTTTTATTTGTAAAAATGACTCTAAATCCTCTTCATTTCCTTTATTAACATAGATAAGTTAAAAAAGATTTGTTTTATTGTACAAAACTGGAAAAATTTGTTGAGATGCTCATTCTTTAAAAAAAGGGAAAAGAAACCAAATCAATCAATTTTGCATAGATTTGATTACAATATTATCCTAGAGTCACATAATTACATATGTATATAATATAAATACTAAAAAATACTAGAACTGTATCTATATTACCTTCGACATAAAAATGTACAATTTCTCCACCTAAAAAGTTCAAGTGGTAGAAATATCTTTATCACTGTTCAACAATGCACAGGAGAAAATCGAAATAAAATTAGAAGAAATAGGGCCAATGCAATTTCAATGCATTTCTACCATTCAAACAAATTAGGAACATTCACATACAACAAATTGAGAGAAGGCAAAAGGGCATAATATTACTTATGTTTCACACGTCACATTTCTCTCTTCACAGTCATAAATATTAAGTAAGTGTTATACAAATATGTAACAACCTATCAATTATAATTTTGTCCCCCTCTCAAATGCAGTAAGTGAGAAATATATATATGTATATTAAAAAAAAAAAAAGATACAAAACATGACGTGCCAAATTCTTCTCATTTTCCTGCAACCCGCTATTAGTCAGATTGTATTCACCAGGAATAGTTAAATGACTTATATCTAAACAGTACAATTTTATCTGAAAAATCAGACATGGTACATCATTTCTCAAAATTCTTATAAAATTGTTTCTAACAATATCAGTCTAGTATGTATTGTTTAGAGAGTCCAAGATATTGCAAATTGAATCAACAATATAAGAATAATTCTTATAAAATATTGATTGATCTCACTTGTAAGTAGAAGTTTTATTAGTAATAATGGTAATAGTTATAGTACCAAAGTAACAGTGATTGTAGTAGTCCTGTAGTATTAGAAGTTATTTTAGAAGTAATCGTAGTTGCAGAGTAACAGTCGACGAGATAGTGGTAATATTAGTTGTAATTGTGGATGTCATCGTATAGTAGTAACAAAAGTAGTAGAAATTGTAGTAATATGAATAGTACAAGACAAAGACTAGGGGGTTGAGGTTTTGAGGAAAGGCACAATCATGACAAATTCACATTGCTATGTTTCTGTCCTGTCATTTTGGCACGCTTTTGAATAGTCAGAACTGCAATGTTCCTACAGTGTCTCTGTGTTTCAACACAAATCATCTTCCCTTTCATGGGAAGTGTCAACCAATTGAGCACTTCATATACGTTTTGTAGGAAACTGTCTTCATCTTCGCCTGCTAGCTGCAGCCATTATCATTTTTCTCAGCATTGGTTCAGGTTGGCAGTCCCTTGGATTACACTGCATATCACCATTTCCTCCGCACCTGAAAATGGCAAATATTGTGTAATGAGAAATAAATACTATTTGAAGCCAAAACCTTCAATAATAAGTCACTGAATATAAAATTTTTGATAGACAATGAGGACAGAAGGCTTATTTAAAAATATTGTGAAAACTTTTATACTTACAGGCATTCAAGGCATGGTGTTGACTTTTCTTGTATTTTTTCTCCTACTTTGTAAGATTTTCCTTGCAAGAGACAACCAGTCTTTACAGCAGCTCCTTTGTATGCATGAGACAAGAAGTGAGGAGGGAGAGTTGTTGTTGTAGTTGTTGTTGTAGTAGATACATTTACCATTGTGGCAGTGGATACTTCGCATTGATATCGTGGGCAACAGAAGCCTTCAATTGGCTCTTGATGGCAGTCTGGAATAGGGGGTGGACAGCTCTGTCGGAGACAAATAATATCACTACGGAAGCAGAAACAGAAATCACAGGGATCATCACGAGGGATTTGTTGGGCTGAAACATAGAGTTTTCCTCCATAACGACATGTGCCAGGTCCAAATGAACCTTCTGACCAGTCTTCATCAGTTGATGGAGGATACCATCCATCATCAGTATTGAAATTTTCGTAATCTGGACTAGGGTGAGAGGGGTGTTGTGGTTTTTGATCCACAGCAGGAGTAGTACTTGATCCAGAACCATGTCCTTCATCAATTGGCTTTTTCGTTGACGTGTCCAGACCTTCACCTGGAATTGTTGCATGTTCAATAGGATGTGATACTTGAGTCACGTGTTCTATGACACCACCAGATGAACCTTTTTCTGTTGTACTACTACTTTCGTGTGAAGAGATGTCAGGAGATTGCTCGTGTGTTTGATCCTGATCAACTGGCTTTTGCTGAGATGCAGTATCATCAGTATCTGAAACCACTGGTTCAGGTGCTCCAGGTTCCTCTGAATGTGATGGAGTAGTTGTTGGAATAGGTTGAGATTCCACAGAACTGGCAGTTTCAGAATGATCTTCTGTTTCACTCTCATCTGATGGAAGGGTGGAGGCAGATGTGCTTTGTGGACTTTCCAGTTCCTGATCTGGCGTAGGTTTCTCAGACTCAGCGTGCTCCGTCTCTGTAGGCTTTTCAATGTCAGTAGATGATGTGGGCTGTTCTGAATCAATTACTGATGGCTCTACGTCACCAGGTGTGGGCTTTTCATCTAAAACATTTTCTGTTGTCATTTGAGGTTCTTCGCCTTCGTCCGGTGACTCGGATGCCTGCGATCCCTCAGATTCCATTTGTGGCCTGTATGTAGTAGTGATCTTATCATGTGACACTTCATCAGAACCAGCTTCAGAAATAGCTGTTGATGTCTGATCAGACGGATGGGTAGTTATCACATCTGGTCTTGGATACGTTTCAGTTCCTACAGGTTGTTCGGATTCAACTGGTTCAACAGGACCCGGTGTCTGTTTATCTTCTTCTGGCACAATTTCAGTTGGTTTAAATGTTTCTTCGTCTTTTTCACCTTCTACAAATGTTGTTGGGGCTGGTGTTGGCAATTCAGATGGTTCATCAGTTTTTGAAGTCTGTGCGTGTTCTGGTTGAGAAATAGGGGTGGTAATACCATATTCACTTGTTGTTTGAACTTCTCCATCTTCACCAGAAGGATGTGGTTCTGCTTCAGAATGGTCCAAAGGCACATGAGATTGATCAGTGGATGGACCACTTATATCAGATTCATCTGTTTCAACCACATTTGGCTCTTGAGGATGGACAGGTTGAGCAGATTCAACAGGGTATGTAGTAGATTCTGGTTCTAATGGTCCGGTAGTGGCAAGATGAGGCTCATCTGGGACATGACCAATTTCAGCAGATTGAGTAGATGACTGTTCACTTATTTCAACATGAGACACTGGTTGTTGAGTTGTTCCTTCCTGGCCCGGCTCAGATGAACTTTGGTCTGCATCTTGATCAAGTGTAAGACTACCACCATCAATAGGTCTGTTAGGCGAACCAGAATCTTCTGGGGAAGAAGTTACAATGTGGAGCTCATCTTCGGTAGACATTTGAATTCCTGGAGAAGAATGTGATTGAGTTGTTGCAACTTCCTCAGGATAACGTTCTGTAGTTGACCCTTCTGCTTCACTGGCTTCTACAGGACCCACAGTCTCACTGATTTCCCCTTGAGGTTTCGAATGATCTTCCTCTGGTTTTGCTTCAGGTATACTTGGTGGAGTCTGGGTTTCCTCGTGAGCTGTGGGATGTCCTTCTGTTGGGTAAGTTGAAGAAATAGATTGTTCCGTTTGAGATTCTCCAGAAATAGGATATCCTGGCTTGGTCGTAACAGGATGCAGTTCTTCTGGATGTTCAGGTTGAATTTCTTGAGGAAGAATAGTTTGGGGTTCTGTTTCAGGTTGTTCCGTATGAGTTGACTCGACCGGATGCCGTTCAGTTTCAGATTCTATAGGTTGTGGCGCATCAGGTTGAGGTTCTTCGGGGTGAGGTACCTCAGGTTGGGATTGTTCTGTCTGAGGTGTCTCAGTTTGAAGTTGTTCAGTGATGGGATGTTCAGAATAGTCCTCTTCAGGTTTATGCTGCTCACTGGGAGATTCGTCAGGTTGAGATAGTTCGGTTTGCGCTTGCTCAGTTTGTGGTTGTTCAGTGTTGGGACTTTCAGGCTGGACCTCAACAGGTTGACGATCTCCAGTTTGAGGTGCTTCTGTTTGGGGCTCAACGGGTTGTGGTTCTCCAGTTTGAGGTGATTCAGTTTGGGCCTCAACGGGTTGTGGTTCTCCAGTTTGAGGTGATTCAGTTTGGGCCTCAATGGGCTGTGGCTCTCCAGTTTGAGATAGTTCAGTTTGGGCCTCAACAGGTTGTGGTTCTCCAGTTTGAGGTGATTCAGTTTGGGCCTCAACGGGTTGTGGATGTCCAGTTTGAGGTTGTTCAGGCTGGGCCTCAACGGGTTGTGATTCTCCAGTTTGAGGTGATTCAGTTTGGGCCTCAACGGGTTGTGGCTCTCCAGTTTGAGGTTGTTCAGGCTGGGCCTCAATGGGTTGTGGTTCTCCAGTTTCGGCCTCAACGGGTTGTGGCTCTCCAGTTTGAGGTAGTTCAGTTTGAGCATCAATGGGTTGTGGTTCTCCAGTTTGAGGTGGTTCAGTTTGGGCCTCAACGGGTTGTGGCTCTCCTGTTTGAGATAGTTCAGTTTGGGCCTCAACAGGTTGTGCTTCTCCAGCTTGAGGCGGTTCAGTTTCGGCCTCAACAGGTTGTGGCTCTTCAGTTTGAATTTGCTCAGGCTGAGCTTCAACAGGTTGATGCTCTCCAGTTTGAGGCTGTTCTGGATGAGTTTGTTCAAAATGAGATTGTTCAGTTTGAGAGAGTTCAGTTTGAGGCTGTTCAGTGTATGGGTGTTCTGTTTGAACATCTACTGGCTGGGGTTCCTCTGGTTTTTCTTGGTCGGGAAGAGTCTCCTCAGGTTGAAATTGCTCAGTTTGTGGTTGGTCTGTGGGGGGTAAATTGACATTCTCAGGCTCATCAGGTTGGGATTCTACAGGTTGTGGCTGGTCTATATGAGGTACTTCAGGATGGGACGTGTCCGTCTGAGTTTCAATTTCAGGCTGCTTAGTGGCAGACTGTGTAGGAAGTTCGTCAGGTTGATATTCGACAGGTTGCGGCTCTTCAGGTTTAGGCTGTTCAGGTTGGACGTCCTCAGGTTGGGGTGATTGAGTAGATTCTGTGCCCGAGCCTTCGATCTCTGAAGGTTCGATTGTTCCAGGCTTTTGATTGTCAGTGTCTGATGGTTTTGAAATTTCGTGGTCTTCATCAGGCAATTGGGTACTATGTTCTGTTTCTTCTTGGTGTTCAATACCTACAATGCTGTCACCTTCTGATTCCCCTAAACTAGTAGTTTCTTCAGGGTGCTCTGGCTGAGTCACATCTGATTCACTAGCTTCGACAGATTCCTGAGAAGGTTTGGTATCCACGACTGGTGGTTGTTCTGTTGCGCCCGTTTCCGATTCACTTGTGCTAGATTCAGGAAGAGTTTGATCTGATTCACTTCCACTGGAGGTAGGTGGTTCCGGTTGCGAAGGCTGTTCTTGTTCAACTGCTTGCTCAGGAAGAGACGGTTTTTCAGTAACGAATGGTGTAGGTTCTTCAGGTTTACCAACGTCTGCCGGTGATGATGGATATTCTACAGTTACAGACTGCTCCGTGACCGAGGATGGTGGCTGTTCTGGAACCTCAGTTTCAGCAACGTGTGAATTATCAGGTTGAACCGGAAGTTCTGCGTCAATTGGTTGTTCCGTTTGAGGTTTCCCAGAATCCCCCGCATCTGTACCTTCTGCTTCAACTGGTAAAATGGGAAGGAGTGTTGGCTGATATATTTCAGGGGTTCCAGTAGGCTCCATTTCCACTGGAAGTTCAGTACCGTGAGGTTCGACAGGGTGTTCATCTGGTCGTTGCGCCTCAGAAGTTCCCGACGATTCAATGTCAGTTGTCTGTACTGGGTGTTCATGATCTTCTGGTTTGCTACTTGCATCATCTGTTTCTAACGTCTGTTGCACCGTATCTGTATGATCTATTTCAAGAGATTGTTCCGGTTTTGAAGTTACTCCTGGATGAGCAATTTGTTCGTCCGGTAAAGTTTCGTCAACGCCTGAAACATCAGGAAGTGGATGTTCTGGTTCTTGAGATTCTTCTGGTTTGTCTGGCTTCTGAGAAATGCTTGCGCCTTCTTCATCAATTGGAACAATGCCAATGGGATGGACATCCGGATGTTGCGATGAATATTCTGGATTTTCAGATTCGATTGGCTCTGGAGAAGTGGGATTTAGGTGTTCCGAGTCGATAGATTCAGCAGGTTTCTCATGTTCAATCGCACCCTCTGAAGATGAATCAGATACACCCGAAGAAACTTCCCCTTCACTTGAAGTGTGCTCCGGACCTCCAGCTTCAACTGCTTCAGGAGAAAGAGAAGACGATTCCTCAGACGTTTCAGGTTTTCCAGATTCTGGCACTCCTGTTGCAGATTCGTCTACTGATTCCTGAGTTGATTCCGGCAATTTTCCATCCCCGGTTGTGGCACCTCCAGCCATGTGACTATCGGATTCAAGAGTAGGGGTTGAATCACCATCTGAAAGAAAATTCTCTGAATGAGTGGCGTTAAAGGGAAAATTACACGTGAAATCAAGTTCTCGTTAGAAATACGTACCGCATAGATATGTGTCACAGCAAGCATCACTCTTATCTTTCACTGGTATGCAATTCTTATGTCCTGCCGGTGGGGGAGAGCATGTAACCTTTACACAGTGAACAATACTACTCACACATCTGCAGCTCAAAACACACGGGTTCAAAGGTGGAATGGCTGAATTGTTCTGATAACTCTGACCTTCCACTAAACAATTGCCTGTTTGAACAAAAAATATTTTAATAACAAGTTTACCAACATAGCTTGGTTTAATAACAATTGGAATAATAGCTTGATTTAATAACAATTTCTTACCTTCTCCTGGGACAATTCCATGCGCTGGAGTCGATTCTGTAGGAGATATTCCTTCCGGTCCTTGCTCTGGAACTGTAGTGGGTGCACCAGCAATACCACCGCCAGTAATTATTTCAGAAGAAGTCAAATCATCTACTTTTTCAGTAACTTTTATTCCCGACTCTGTTATGCCTTCAGCCGTGTCAGACGTCTGATCAATAGATGGGTGGTGGTGTTCAGGAGCTTCGGATGGTTCAACCGATTGAGATGTAACTTCTTTTTCGTCTTCTTGCCCAGTCACAGAATCAGGTGCTTGAGTTGGCTGTTCTCCAATTTGATCGGGAATTTCAGTCTCCGACAATACAGGCTCTGTCGGGGGATGTTCAGAAGATTCATGAGTTTCTTCCTGTACACCGGTACCCTGCTCTGAAGTTGTGTGCTCATCTGACACGTGAGTATCTTCCGGTTTATGTTCTTCCGAAGATGTTGAAGGACCAGAAGGTAATTCAGTTGTATCGGATGAGCTATAATCAGGCTTAGCTGTATCAGAAATGGATGGGCCCTCTGTGGATGTTCCTAGCGCTGGTTCGCTTTCATCGGATTCACCTGGTGATGGTGACAATGTAGATTCTTGCTCTGTTCCTTGACTATCTGATCCAGAACCTTCAGTTACCGTTTCTGGAGCATACGTCGAAGGGAGTTTCTGTGGTTGGTCGGTTGACTCTGGAAATTCAGATATTACAGCTTCTGTCACGTGCTCAGGAACTTCTGGTTGTTCACTTTCTGCTGAAGGTGTAGAGTAGTCTGAGGGATCTTCGTGTGAAGCCTCTCCAGTTGTTTGAGATTCTTGCTCAGGAACGGAAGTAGATTCAACAGGTGAATCTGTTGATACTTCAGGTTTTATGGCATCTGTTGTTATAATGTTTTCATCTACAGGAACATTAGTCGATTCATCAACTGAGGATGTGTCAGAACTCGCTTCGTGACTAGTTGTTGAGGGCGAAGATTCTTGAAGGGGTTGGTCTGTGGAAGCCTCCGAAGGCAACTGCTCAGGATTTTCTGTACCTAAAATATCATGTTCCTCATCATGGGGTTGCGTAGTTGTTCCAACTTCGGCAGGCTCTTCTCCTTCCGGTTTCTCAGTCAAATGTTCATCAGGTTTGGATTCTGTCTCCGACTCCACAGCTTCTGGTTGTTGAGATGATATTTCGTGAGCAGGAGATTCTGACGATTCAGCCTCGGGAGAAGCAGGGTGTTCTGATTCTCCTGTTACAAGAGGAGATTCCGGTTTATGTTCCTCTGCGAGATCGGGCGTTTCCGAAGGTGCTTGCTCTGTAACCGCAGCTTCTCCTTCCGAAGGAATCTCCGTTCCCTGCTCAGGAACCTGTGTGGTTCCTTGAGATGGCTCCTCGTCTTCGCTCACCACAGGTTCAGGGGCAGATGGAGTAGGTTGAACACTGGGTTCATGAGGATGAACATACTCTGGTGCACTTGTTTCGTCATCTGTGGCAGGGGTAGTATCAGCACTGTCTGGCTTGATTTCCGCATCAGGCTCATTGGTGGCAATTTCAGGAATATCGGTTGCATGTACTGGTTCTTCAGTTAGCTCTGGTTCCTTTGGCGCTGTTTCTGTAGGGTGCAGAGGAATTTCGTGTTCTTGTTCCACCGCACTAGAGGAATCTACAGTCGGTACTGTAGCTTCCGGTAAGTCCGTAGAACTTTCCTGTTCAACTGGCAATATCGTTGGCTGTGCTGGTTTTTCTGTAACTTCGCCTACAGTTTCCTTTTCTTCTGTCGGGCTCTGGGGCTCTGTCTGATCGTCAAGATCTGTGTGCGATTCTTGGGTGGGTGATACTGTAGTTTCTGATTGAGAATCTTCCGGTACCGACGTTTCTGACTCAACAGCCTGAGTAATAAGTGATGCAGGTGGTTTCGTAGATTCCTGCTGTTCCTGAGGAGTAGTGATGGGTGTTTCTGAAGACACCTCATGTGGTATTTCAGTTGGCTGTTGTGATGTTGAAAGTTCTGGCACATTATCTTCAGACTGTGTTTCAGATGGTTGTTCCGGCTTTATTTGAGCATCCGATTCGGGTTTGTGTGCTGGTACAGCAGTGGCTTCTTCTAGCATATCTGGGAATATGATATTGTCATTGGGTTCTGGTTTATGCGGAATCTGTACTGATTGGTCTGGGGAAGAAGCTGTCGGCAGAGACACAGAAGCAATAGTAGCTGGATATTCAGGAACTGAAGTGGTAGGGATCTCTGTGATTGAAATATAGGAAGGCTTCTCGTCTTCTTTATCCTGTACGGAAGGTTTCTCTTCAGTATCCACGCCCGAGGGTCCTTGTTGAGTTGCATCGTCAGTGGAAGTTGACGATTCATCCGGTTTGTGTGTAATACTTGGATGTTCGTCGTGAGTAGGAAGTGTTGTGGTAATATCTGCAGGTTCCTCAGGTTTGCTAGTCGCACTGTCTTCTGGTTTAGATTCTACTTCCGACTCCACAGCTTCTGGTTGATGAGGGAATGTTTCATGCGGAGGTGCTGTAGTTTCTGCATCGGGATGCGCAGATAGGTCCGGTTCTCCTGATCCCTCAGTTTCAATAGGCGAGTCAGGTTTGTGATCAATCGCCTGCTCTGGAATTTCTGTAGTTTCTTGACCTGTTTCTTGTGTTTCTGGACCTTCGTGGTGTGCTGGTAATTCCGTCGGATATTCGGGAGCAAGAGTTGTTTCTACATTAATCTCAGAATCGGGCTTATGTTCATCTGGTTGCTCGGTTGTTTCCAAAGGAGCGTGCTCGGTAACCGCAGCTTCTCCTTCCGAAGGAATTTCCGTTCCCTGCTCAGGAACTTGTGTGGTTCCTTGAGATGGCTCCTCGTCTTCGCTCACCACAGGTTCAGGGGCAGATGGAGTAGGTTGAACAATGGGTTCATGAGGATGAACATACTCTGGTGCACTTGTTTCGCCATCTGTGGCAGGGGTAGTATCAGCACTGTCTGGCTTGATTTCCGCATCAGGCTCATTGGTGGCAATTTCAGGAATATCGGTTGCATGTACTGGTTCTTCAGTTAGCTCTGGTTCCTTTGGCGCTGTTTCTGTAGGGTGCAGAGGAATTTCGTGTTCTTGTTCCGCCGCACTAGAGGAATCTACAGTCGGTACTGTAGCTTCCGGTAAGTCCGTAGAACTTTCCTGTTCAACTGGCAATATCGTTGGCTGTGCTGGTTTTTCTGTAACTTCGCCTACAGTTTCCTTTTCTTCTGTTGGGCTCTGAGGCTTTGTCTGATCTTCAAGGTCTGGGTGTGATTCTTGGGTGGGCGATACTGTAGTTTCTGGTTGAGATTCTTCCGGCACCGAAGTTTCTGATTCGACAGCCTGAGGACCAGGTGGTTGAGTAGATTCGTCCTGTTCTTGAGGAGATGTGGTTGTGATGGGTGTTTCTGAAGGTTCTTTGGGCGAGTCAGGTTCAGCTTCTGATGCTTCCTGTGTCCCCGATTCTGTAGGTATCTCAGTTGAAGGAGCTTCTGGCACTTCCTCATCAATGGGTTGTTTCTCGTGGTCATGTGGAACATGCTCATCTACAGAAGGAAGAGTGGTTTCATCTGGAGAAGCTGGTGGGACCGTTGTTTCTGCTTCAACAGGTTCTGTGACTAAATGTGTTGGTTTTTCCGTTGAGTCTAATTCGCCGGCAGACGTTTGTGAATCTGTCTGTTCTGAAGGTTTTTCTTCCGAAGGTGAGACGGGTGATTCGTTACCTTCTGGTTTGTGTTCTTGTTCTTGTTCGATTATGCCATCTGAACCCTCTGGCTTAGCTGTAGATTCCTGAATTGCTCCCTCATTTTCTGCTGGTTTCACATGTTCAATTGTCGCAGGAGATGTTTCGCTCGGAGGAATATTTTCTTGCTCAGTCTCACTAATTATTGGATGTTGATTATCTGATGATTGATCAACTTGCTCAGTCTCACTAATTACTGGATGTTGATTATCTGATGATTGGTCAACCTGTGAAATGGTTTGTTCATGATCCTGCTCTACAACAGAAGGTTCTGGTACTTTTTCTTCAATTGGATGAGAGGCTGGTGTTTCACCATCTGTAGTTTCTGGTTTTTGAGCAATGGTGGGTGAGTCCTCATCAGAAGTACTTTGCTCAATGATAGCTCCTCCAGGTGAGTCAATTTCATTGTCAACGACTGATGGCTCCACTGGCGTAGCCTGGGTTGTTGGCTCGTTATCACTGGATGGCTGACTGGATTCTGGAGTGTCTGGATGCTTCTCTTGATTCATAATGTCAAGTGGGAGGGTACCATTATCTGCAACGTAAAAGTGTGATTTAATGAAAATTATATTTTAAAAATCAATAACTATATTTTGTGAAAATAATGAAAAATATTTTAATTTTTGAGGAAAACTGTCTACTGAAGAGGATTAGTTAGGAAAAGGAACAGTTTTTAGGAACCAGGGATTTGACAATGAATTAAAAATAATGTAGAAAGATCGGCAAGTTCTGATTAAACAAGAAAAATATAAACATAGTTAAATGACAGATTTAGAAGTTTGTTACGAAAGTAATGGTTGCATTGCATTCATTAAGTTTGCTGCAAAGATTACAAGAACGTTAATTTTTGTGAGACAGACATTTGTATGCACCTGTGTAGCAATTGTTAAATTAGATTTGTTATGTAAAAATGAAATTAATCTTGTATTCACCAAGCAAAAAGAAAAAGTGTGTATCAAAGCAATTTGAAGCATGTGAACACAATACAATCATTACCATCGGCATCGTGTTCATGTTTGCGATTCTGCCTCAAGGATAGGTCGTTTGCTTGACTTATCTCAGGCTCTGAAATGATAAAGTGTGCTGTTTATACTCTGATAATGTGTTATGTGTTGACAGGATAGATGGAGAAGAATGCTTAATTTTTTTCTCCTGCGAAGTCAAGATTGCATGTACAGTTTGAGGCATCTTATTGATGAAATGAACGATTCCTTAATATTTATGTACAACATGAGTCTACAGTTAGGTGAAATTTTAATTTTTAAAATATGAACACACATCCTTGTATTGCAACAATAGAAGGCAAGAAAAAATTGAATATTTTAAATTTACATAACAGCATAATATGTTCAGCTGTTATTATACATTATGAGAATTACATTAACTGTACATATCTTTCTACAGTATTTACTGGGTGTGATATTTACACAAGGTGATCAATGTTATGAATCAAAAGTGTAAATATTTACAATATTTAAAACAAGTTGATTTTACTCAAAAGTAACTACATATTAATGAAACAGTGCTTATCAAATTTAAGTCATACCACATTGGTATTGCTGAGGGCAGCAAGATCCTGGCTGTGGGGGCAGGGCAGTGCAGTTCTTGCCCTCTCGTTCAAGAGGAGTACCACATTCCTGAACAGCACACACAATATCTCCCTTCATGCAGTAACAGAATTCACAAGGATTGGTGTTTGGTAACATTGCACCATCAGCATATACTTCGTTATCATGCTGACAGTCTAAGGGACCTGGTGTAGTAGTTAGAATTAAACCAGGAGTGGGTCGAACTGTTGTCTCGGGAAGAGTTGCTTCTGTTGCTTCTTGGTAATCTGTAAAATAATATTTCTTAAAACTTTCTACATAATAAATCACATTCATGACTCTATTTTCAAGTTTATCCGAAACTGAGTAATATGTGATGATTAAAATGAACTTACCACAGTCATATCGCACAGGACAACATACACCATCTGCATATACAGGCTGGCACCCTTCTACATGTAATGTACATTCTTGCATTACACAAGCAGTTCTGTTACGAATGCAGTAACACAATTCACATGGCTTGCTGGAATCTCCAGGAACCTAAGAGGAAAAATGAAAATATATATAACCTGAAAATTCAGAATTATTTGTTTTGAATAATCTGATTAGATAATGAAAATTACCTTTGCTCCATCAGTGTAGAAGACCTCATCAATAGTGCATCCATAATTATCAGGGTGACCTACAGCTGATGATCCTGATGTTGGAGCGGGGGGAGTAGCTGCTGTAGTAGAACTCGTTACAAGTTGAACAGGAACTGAAAACAATTTTTTATGTTTAAATTATCTTTTTAAATAAATGAGAATTTTTACCCTAATATTTGAAGATGTAATGATAGATGTGGCGATTATATATTTTGGGCTTATTTTTCCATGATATTTATTTTTTATTACTAGAGGACTTTCAGATTATGATTTTATGAGTCCCTATTTTCATTGATTACTTTATATTCCTGCCAATGTGTGTGTGTCTGTGTGTGTTTGTGGAAAGGAAACACCAAATACAACCAGACCTAATGATAGCATGTGAATGACAAAGGAACAAGCTGAATAAAATGAGCTAAATATTACAATATCACTTCATGTATTGCCTTACATGTTGTAGAATACTAGGCTTACTTCACCAAATTTCAGAGAATAATTGTCTGCTATATTAGCATTACACAAACTAATTTTTTTTAAAAGACAATCCTATTATCTTTTAATATTTGTTTTACACAATTTGTTTTGCATCTTAATTTATTGAATTCTCAATTTGGCCAGGAGAAATATGTACACGTAGTTTCCCAAATGTCCGCAGGGAGGCGCTAGCAACCTTTGGGAGGTATCTCTCTGTGATGTCAGGCTGGTTGCCGACATTCAGGGGCACGCCAGACAGAAAGGGACAATAAAGAGTCCGAACTTGCGACGGTAAATTGTAGGTGATAAAACAATGGCACGATCACTAGCTAGTTATAAAAAAGTGGATGAGAAATGCTAACGATATGGTGTATTTTGGTATGGTATTTCCCCCCTTTTTTTTACTTTTTTGACGGAGTAAGAAACCCTTGAAGGGTTTTGTGAGGACAAAACAATAAGATCACACTTAATCCTCAACTCAAGTACCTTCTGGACATGTGATGACTGGACAACACTGCTCGGGTTTCTTCTCAACGGTGCAGTCTTGACCAATAGCTTTGGAGAAGGGACATACCCTCAGATAGCACATGAGCATCCGATTATGGCAAGTGCAGTTTAGGCATGGTTCGTTCGTTATTATTCGATCTCCTTCCTCGTAGTGCTGGAAATTGTAGTAACAGCCGGTCTCTGCAACAAAGATTATTTGTTTAGTTTTATTAAAATAAACGTCTTGTTAGTAGTTAAAAAATAACACCTGCTTTGCAAATTTCTGACAACGGTATACGTTTTCGAGGAATTACAGAATATTCGCTTGGTATATAAAGAATAAAAACGGTTCGATTATTTGAAAGGAATGTACTTGATTTTTCAATATCTACGTATTTTCTAGTAAATTGTATCCACGGAAGCAAAGAATTCTCAATACACTCATTGGAAAACTTATGATGGTGCGTATCTCCACCTTATGCCCTATAAACAATTTTCCATTGGAAGAATTAGATAGAGCTTAATTTTTATAGAATTTTTTCAGATAACTTTTACCGATAATATTATTTTCATGTCCGTGGTCCTTTAATGTCTATTCTTTTTATATTACCATTATTTATTTCTCACAATTCCAAATATTTTAAAACGACGAGAAAAACTTCCTTCTTTACCATGTCAATATCTTGTATTACAAATGATTTGAATTCTATCCCTTCTTTCATCTTCTCTTGCTCTAAATGTTTCAAGATAAACAACATTAAATTAAGATCAATCAAATAATTTAAGATAGCCTTATTCTTTATAGCATTATTGGCGACACCATTTCTGAAATAAAATGAAAAACTATTGCAATAAAATTTAAACACTTGTGACAATATGCTATGCCATATTATTTCAGCTTCACTGAAATAATATGGCAAAGCACAATGTCACAAGTGTTTAAATTTTATTGCAATACAAACTTAACTTGTATTTACTCGAAACAAATTGAAACAAAAAGTCATGAAAGCTTAGACACTCGGAAACCGAAAACATTTCACTACAATTTCACTCTTTACCTGTAGGCAACGTAACAATCTCGCGCCACGACTTTTCCGATAATGGAACAGAAAGAACACGCAAAGGCGAACAGGAAAGGACGTTTGGAAGTGGCTGTTTGTTTAGCAGGGCTCCCCGATCGAAAGACAGAGCATCTCGTGTGTGTAATGAGACAACTGCCAAAAATAACAGCTTGAGTACGTCTCCGTCACCGCAATTTTCTCTCCCGGCAACGGCAAGCACGCGAGGGCAAGGTCTCTTGCGCTGCCTTGCCGCTGGCTCGTGGGCGCAGCCATTGCCGCCGCCCCACGCGACGCTGCGGCGCGCCGTGCGAACCGCCGAGGGCGTCTTCCGGTATGAGCTCATCCCATCTGGTAATGGCTCACTGTGTCGCTCACACCATTCGATTGGCTCTAACAAGTGCAAAATTACCTTTCAGCCACAAATTTCGATTTTTTCTCACTCGGTGACTGATTATTTCATGTTTCTGGGCGCATCTGCAATGGCAATTCGCTCCGTAAATGTAGTGCATGTGTTTATTACAAGAGGTGGCAGTGATATTCCTCCGTTGGATAGTGAGATCTAGCGTCAATCTATACGTAGGTTTGTGGAGTTTTCTCCATTCACGTATCTCCCATGAGAGGGCCCACCTCTGCCAGGACATGCTCCCGACTGGTATCCCGCGATGCGTAGTATATAAGTGTAATGTATGTTTGTAATTAAGGGGTGAAGACAGTACAAGGAAGAGGTAGGAATTATTTGGCGTTTTGTGGTCCGTTTGTTGGAGTACTGCTTCGGCTTGTACCTGGTGTTTATAGGAAAAAAAGATGGGAAACTACCGATCGGAGCAGCCAGCCGCCAAAATTCATCTTCTGACACGGGAAAATTCGACCTATTTACCTAGAGTCGAATATCCGGCAATCGTCGAGACGCGAACCCTAGGTCAGAGGTGTCACAGGGATATGGGTTGATGCCCTAAGCCACCCCAGCTTGTCACTCATGGGTTAGTTTCAATACAGTTATTATTGTCATTAGGCCAGTACAGAACAAACAACATACGCGGTTGACGTTTGCAAATCCAGGTGATTGCTGAGATTTATAACCAATCAAATCTATTATAAGTGATATTGGCCATATTTCATTTAATATTATTCGTACTACCACTATTATATAAAAATATTAAAACTAAGAAATACATTTTGTTACAAAGGGGTAATCGTACGCCATCTTTAGATCATCATTTGTTTCAATTGCTTTACACTGACCGCGGTCTTACGTTTGTTCATGGAATACGGTCTTTCTATCTTCTTTTTGCTGTAACTCGATATATCAAAACAGTATTACGAAATATACTTTACATTAGAATTAGGATTTAATAATATAGCAAATTAATTAAATCCAAGACATCCAAATGATTATTAATTGGTTTATTATATTATTTAATTGTAATTACAACGAGCGAAATAAGATATACCTAACACTGCTTGATGTTGCGATGTATCAATGTATGAATTCATAAACATACATAAGTAATGTATATCTCATTTCGAAGTGCGCACTTATTGCTACGAGAAGCAGCATCATATATTTTCGAAGTGACAAAAAGAAAAGCGTTTCCATGTGAGACAAGTGTGACGTCATTTACGACCAAAAGCTGCTATATCCAAGGTCGGAACCGTCTCATCTTCACGAACATTGGCTACAAAATAACATGTTCATAAAAAGTAGGTAAGGTGGAAGATAATTGAGCGTTTAGCTCTCCAGCGAAAAGTTGCAAGTTCTTTTACAAGGCCGTCTGACTCTCTCTGTGTTATTACCTTCAGGTTCAAGGGAGATGCCCATATATGTTGGTGTTGGGAATATGGAATGAGAATCGAAAACGAATGAAACTCGTTCGGACTAAAACACATCAGTAGATAGTAGACAATTCTAATTTTAAACGTTGACGATGATAGAGTCTAGACTTCGCACAGAGATCACGTTGATTTGCGTTTCGCTTAAAATAGCGGAAATTAAAATTCCAGTTTCGACTCATTCTTGATTTAGGTGTTTTTGTTGCATTGGTCTTGTAGAAATTACGACAGAGTTGTCAAAACATTACAAAAAAAATAACAGAGTAAAACATACTTGTATTACGTTCGCGAAATTTTATCCCTACCGTAAGAAGAGCCGTTTGAGATTCATCGTTCTCGGTCACTTGTTTCCAGGATCGAGTAGATGCATTGAAGAGTCACCCGTATTACTCACTAAGAATTCTATTAGTATGTGTTGTTTTTATATTAGCGAATGTAATTTAATGGGAGGATTTCTATACTCTTGAAAGTTAAAGCACCAATTTTCTTTGTTTTGGAAGTTAAATTACAATGCATTGACTATTGAAAAATAAATGTGATGTTCAATTAATTTGAAAATTTTTGAAATGCTTTGAATTTTGAATCAAACTATCGTTTTTAGTATTTTGTTTCATGATGTACTGATGTGAACCATGGGTGGGACGAATCAGTTGTTATAATAATACATTGCTATTATTGTTCTTTTTGCTTTAATAATATATACACGTATTGTTGTTGGGATGGAGACAAAGCATCACATGGTATACCGTATGGTGTAAAGAAATTCGTGAGCTAGATTTACTCGATTCTGTCGAATTTTACTCATTCTGCGCCCCATCAGTTTGCGCCGCGAACCACATGACCACAATATGGACACTTCGTTTGAAAAGCCAGACGAGACACTGGTCCTCATGTCGTATGGAGAGCGAGGAGTGTCGATAAACATTTTGAAATCGGTATAAAGTGACAATTTTCAACGGTGACCAACCAAAGATAACACGATGAAGGTGTAATTGAAATAAAAGATGCATTATTTTTTAATTGTCTTATAACAAGGCAATAAGTTTGGTATCTGGCTGCATTAAAATTTCCCGCTAATATTGTGACGCAAACTGATGTCTGAAGCTCATTTTCTGAAGTCGGATACGATACGCAATGCCTCACCCATCTCTTTCCACAGTGGTATAGTACAGCAGCACTCCACTCTCAGTTCACAACTTGTCGGAGGAGCCCCAGTGGCCGCTCCGCGCAGCTGGAGAGTTGGGTGGGTGAGCGGTGGTGGAGGAAAGGCCGGGCGGCCCCCGGTGCTGCCGTGACCCTGCGGCCGCCCGCGCGTCGCCCGAGGCGCTCCTTGCCAAGGTTGGGCGGTTAGCGGGCGAGTAGCAGGCCTGCGGTAGGACTATTCGGTGGGTAGTTAGCGGGTAGTTGGGAAGCAGTGCGGTTGAAAAGGTGATAGGGCGGGTAGTTAGTGGGAAATTGGGCGTTTGGGCGATGAGTTGGTGGAGCTTTGGACGGGTAGTAGGGCAGGAAATTACTGGGCGGTTGGACACTATAAGGAGTAGTTATTGGGCAGCTAGGCGCGTAGTTTGAGGGTGATAGGGCATTTGAGTGGGCGGTAAGGCGGGAAGATGGGAGTGGGGTAGTGAGGCGAGTGGTTAGTGGGCAGTTGGGCGGACGGAAGGGCTGGTAACGCGAAACGTCAAGTCTGAATTTTCAGTTATTTTGAGAGCTTCGCCTAAAAACCATCCTGGCAGCTAGAGATGACGTCAACATCTTTTGTCCAAGCGGTTGCATCTTCTGACTTATGATGTGGTTTCCTCGCCGTGTATTACAGCGTCTTTCCTGCAGTAAATGTGTAAAAAGGTGAACGGCCTATCGCTACTTGCGTTCACAACTGCGATGCCAGCACCGCATCCGGCCATGCGCGGAACTACCGGCACTGTAGCGCCAACACGGAAGATTAAGGGACACAAATGATAGATAAAACAAAGTGTTTTCTGCTAATTACACTTAAATGCATGCTTGGTAATTTTACATTAAGAGCAATTGTAGTCTCTAACATATTGAGGATATCGGTTAAAAGGAAATCTGCTTACATCGAATACATATATTGCGTTCATTTTTGTAATTGGTAGTGTTAGTGCTGAAAACTCAAGCCAGACGTAAAATCTTACTATTCAGTGCGTATTTTCGCCCGACTGGATAGAAAAGTTGATTGAATGTGAGTTTCCACCCGACAAGGACTCACCTCCGTAGTATTCGGCCACTTGATGCTGCTGGTGTTCTTGTACAGGCGCTGCAACAAAATACGACTCGTTAGTAACGTCTGTCAAAGGCACAATATATTTCAAGAATTACATTCACAGACATACGTGCGTAATAAAATATAGTAATAATAATAATAATAATAATAATAATAATAATAATGTGCTGTAATTACTAAGAGTGTCATATTTTTTATAAATAACATGTGACCATGCTTTTGAATCGTGTCTCTGCCATTTCTGTAAGAGCGTCGAGAGTAACGAAAATAAAAATAGTGAGCTTCTCCGTCAAAATCGAGTTCACTTCGGTAGAGAATAATAACAATGAGCAAAGAACACATCTTTGTTTTTAGAAAACCACTCCTTCGTATCCAAAGAAGTTGAAACTGTCCAGCATAACCAAGAGAATCTTCTTTTTTAATCTCTTTTCTTCGCCACTCCTTGTCCGAGTTCACCTTCACAAGAAAAACACATTGTCGCACGCGTAATCCCTTGGGCAATGACTGCGTGTTTTCCATTTCGCGGCAACGGGCGCCCGTAGCGCGCGGTGCGGTGGGGCCCGCAACCGTTGGCGGAAGCGCCCAATTACGTGACGCCTGCAGAAACCTGCCCGGTTCCCCTCTCGTTATCGCAGCGCATCGCGTGGCCTTCGCAGGGAGGCTGACTCCTCATGTCAGTTTGCTCGCTGCAACGGCGCCGCGCGGCGTGGTGACGGGGGGGGGGGAGGAGAGCACCCAAGAATACAAGGAGGGTGGCAAGACATTTCTTGATGCGGGGAAGTCAGTGTGATTGGATGTGGAGGTGGGTCAAAAGAATTTAAGTGATAGAAAGCTTAAGGAAATCAATATTATTATTATTATTATTATTATTATTATTATTATTATTATTATTATTACTATTATTATTAATATTAATAATAATAATAACAATAATAATAGAGTGAAATAATGAATCTACAAATAAAACCAAAAGGTTTTAATGCTTGCTTTTAGTATGATCCATGCTTCTGAAGTAGTAATTTTAACGCAGCTTTATGAACTTTTCGTTTATAACTAACTCCCACATTTTTCTTTTTGTACCCCTTTATTTTACTAATTGTATTATTTCACAGTTTTTCTAACCCCCATTGAAGATGGAAAAAATAATTCGCGAATACTTGCTTTATGGTTAACTGTTTTCATAAATTGTATTAAAAAAGGTTGATTTTAGGTGTAGTGATTTCATTATCATTTATTATAGAACTAATCAAAGCCTACAATCTATATAGCTCAATTATCTTTAAAAAGATATAGATTTAGTTTACTCCCACAAAATAGTTTTGTTGTGTAGTTTTCACTGGACCATTAAAGTATTTGAATTTTTAAGGTAACGCCTATTCACATTTATTGTAATTTAAGGTTATTTTTATTTTGTACTTTTTAAGGAGACAGACGGGTGTAAATTACTCATCCGCCTTGGGTGGCAAGAACTCTACCAACGCAACTGTTAATAATCTGATAATTCGCTCGCCGGGATGGTACTGGGACAGCGGGAGGAGTGAAGAAATCGTATTGACAGGGGACGCCTTGACTACCAGTAGTGATGAAATTGCAAGGGAAAAGGAAAGCTAAGTGTAAATGAGAAAAGATGGAATACAGGGGGACTAGGCATGAAGATTATATTAATAATACCTTTTAATTTCCCAAAGTAAAATTTTTCGACAAATGATTGTCCTTGTAAATCTGCCTTTTTTTTGTCATCGTGCGACAATGCGGATAAAGACCCCGCCAGGAGATTTGGAATTCGTTCATTGTGGGTAAGACCCATACCTCTCAGCCCCGGCGCGGGAGCTAGGGTTGAAGACCCTCCAGCGCTCCGCGCTCGTTCTTATGCGCCTCACAGAGCGCGTTCTCAAACGCCATTTTTCCATCGGCGACGGGCGCGTTCATTCAAGGCACAGCGACAAGGCGTCGGCGGTGGGGCGCGACTGGCGTCCGTGACCTAGCGCTCGCCGGCGCGAAGGAATCTCATTACGACTCCGAGAGAAACAAACGGCCGTGGCAGCGGAGGTGGTAGCCGTGGAACGAGAGAGATGCACACGCCGCAGCAACACTATTACGGCATTGGTGATGATGAGTTGAAATGTTTTTATTATTTTAAGTGGAGATTCACGAAATGTTGCAACTTTTTTTTGAAAAACTCGTACGCAGAAAATTGACGAATAATTTCTCCGTCAATAAAGTCATAATAAAGTTATAGTATTTTATATATCTTAGTATAACACTTCATTGTGTCAATGGATTTATCTCCTAACAAAGACACACATATGTATATTTACAATGGGCCTACAAATGTTTCGCAACGATTGTCTGAACCCATGTTAGTGAGATGGCGTGTATCTTCAATGAGTTTATTGTGTTATTTTCTTGGGTATGAGTCTGTTACGAGGAAGTTGTGTTTGAACATTTATGTGTGTGCTTGATCGTCAGAGGTCAGCTATGACTTCCGAACAATCAGAAGGAAATACATTTTCTTGTTATGGCGCATTTGTTTTTATCCCCAGAATATTGACACGCTAAATGTCAACAGAGTGCCACATTATCATTACAGATGAAAATTTGTGGATATGCAAAGTTTCATCCGTCCTTTAAACCGACTACCTGTGCCAAGGTTTTTCAAATTTTGGTGATATAATTCGCGTAACGAAAAGTAATGCACGACAATGTATATATGGACACAGCAAATATTTTTAAATCCCAGAATTTTGGTTAGAATTAAGATTCAACTCAAGAGTGCTTTACATTCCGCTATATTTATACTTCAGGGATCGCACATTTTCCCCGCAGTGTTGATGTGAATTCACCCGGCGTATTAAGACTGCCATCACCTCGAGCGACTTGAATAATTCATGCAGGGGAAGATGTCGCAATGCCTGTGGAAGTAGTTAATGGGCGCTATAGATGGAAAGGTGTGGTGGAGGCAGCGAAGGAAGGGAAACGGACTCGATGATTTGAGACGTCCATTTAGCCGATGGTGTCGATGCAGAAGACTGCAACAACAGAGTTTATGGGCAGAGGAGACACGTTGTGTGGGCGCGAAGGCGGAGGGGAGATACAGTGTGCGGACAAGCTGCTTGCAGAGGTAGGGAAGGTCGCAGCCTCTTGCAGAGGTGCGAAGAGAGCTCGGAAAGGGAGATGGCGCACGTAGTGGGTCTAAATACTCCAAAAGGAGGCATAATGCATTTTCTGTGATTACGAAGTAAGCGTTTTAACTAAACACGCGTAACACATTCAAACAAGAATAAAACGTCCTTTAATATACACGTCGCGTTTTACTTTAACTTACAATATGAACAGGTATTCGATTACTTCATGATTTTTCCTTAGATATGAGATACCTGCATGTTGTTTTATAACCCATCGTTTACTTACTAATGAGGAACAATAAGAAAAGTTTCACACTTTTGTAGTGATCCCTTTCACTTAGTTTTAGAAAGAATTGCAAGTTATGTTTTATGGAGGTGCCAGTACCATTATCTTGGTCAAATCACTTTACGAGCCTTCTGTCAGACATCAGTTAATAATCAGAATCTTTTATGTAATACCAATGTCTAAATATAGTGGACTGGATTTCTGCATAATTCTTTTTCTACTTTTGTAATAAAGTTATCCGCATGTGTCCCTCCATCTGTCACTAATGGTTAGACCCCATCCGGCCAAAGGACATGCGAGGTGCCATCTGACACGCCTCGATCTGCTGGTAGGGAACCATCAATTTTAGTACCCTTCTAATATAATTAATGAGTGTGAAAATACTTTCATTACTGTTTGAAGTGACGGAGATGCAAAGTAAGCTATGTGATATTGTCAATACTGCTTTTATGATTATTACTACGAAGTTAGAGCTTAAGTAATGAATCAATAATGCCTTATTTTACATGGTGGGTCTCACAACATCAGGCCGGCTCCCTCCCCCTTCCAAGCAAATTTCGTTAATCTTCTTTTACCAGGGTCCTTTCGACATCTAGCGGCAAAAGAAAGTTTGCGAAATAGGCGATTTGAATTTATCTCAGAGGCTACTTCGATGCTTAAGATCTTATACATCTAGTAAATCTACAACATGGGACCGCCGAATTTACTTTTCCTCCGAAGGGTAGGCGTACGAAGGATTTTTTTTCGTCCGCTTTGATTGGGTTTTGAACCCGCAAACTTGGATGATTTTTACATGAAGCATATTAATATCGATTACGCTAACCCCAACTCTAGCGTGATCGATTTTAATAAATGTCCCTTCCCTTTTTATTCGCCGTGCGCGCCGTTTGGCCCAGTGTGCGGGGCGGGGCGAGGAGACGTTCGCGTGTCGAGCCGTGCGTCGTGACTGCGCCGTGTGTCAGGGCGTGGGGCTGACGTGACTGTGGCGCAGCTATCAGATGCCTGCGCGCCGGCGCAGACCCGCCCTCTCTCCTCAGCCAACGGCGCCGCGCTGCGCTGCGCCGCGGGGGATTGACCCAGGGAATGGCGAACGCTTCCTCGCCCACGCGACTGCTCAGCTCGGTGTGCAACAGTTGTTTCGCAGAAATATTTTTATTTAATAAAAGAGCATCATACTACATGAAAGTCTCATGACATCTGCACGAAGTGGAGCCAAGTGAAGTACACTCGATGAACATGTAAGCGGTATATTTTGAAGTAAAAAAAAACCAACACGGTAAAAAAATATTGTATGTAAGTAACATAGGATTCTTTGGTAACTGTCGGGTACAGCACAACTAAATAAATTAGTGAATGCGCATTATGCATTAAAACTATCATTGGATAGACAACTCATTACATTTCTGGCATTAAAAACTAAAGTCTCCGTGGACTTTGTGCTTGTAGGGTTGGATACACTAACGAATTCTTTATTTCTTCAAAGGCACATATTTATTTTCCCCAAAAATTCAGAAACACTGGTAGAGCAATGTGAAGACAGACACAAAAGCACCGTTGAAAACTTTTAAAGCTTAAATTTCTGGTTTTGAGGTTTAAAATAATTTACATCAAACGCGAAAATTATTGAACACATTAAAAGTGACATATCTAAAACATCATTTTGAATGAAAAAGGTTTCAGCCCGAGCAGAGCCGTTTATTTCGCGACCGCAAAATTTTGCTCTTAATATTATGTTTTGTTGGCTATTTTCATTTTTACCGGTAAACACTTCATAGATTTCTCTAAAAATACTTCACTAAAGTAAGAAATTAAGATTATCGAGATGTCGTTATTTGTGCTCTAGTAATGCATGTATGAAATCAATATTAATTTTCTTAACGCTCGAAACTTCATCTTATATTTTTTTTTATCTCGCAAGCTCCTTGAGTGCCCGTTACACGGGGTGCACCAAGGTGTTGCCCCGGCCCTGGCTTGGGTGCGCGCCGTTGGAAGCAGCCGAGCGGGGAAAAGTGGCGGCAGCGCCGGCGGGAGAAGAGCAGAGATACCCCCGATAAGGAGAAGGTCGCCGGCGCCTGAGCCGCGTAACTCCTCCACCAGCGTTGTGCAGC